TTTTTTATTTCACCTTATCAGTTAATTTTACTAAAAGTTTTATCATATACATCACTTTTCAATAACAAGCCATAAACTAGAAGTTATAAACTTGAAATTCTTTTATAAGTTATATGACTATGTTTGATAAAATTGACCGATAAGCTAGCTGATAGCTTATTATTAATTTTCAAAATTATAGCTGAAAAACTAGCTTATATGATAAAAGTGATTAGTAAAATTAGCTGATAAGCTAGCTGAAACAAAAATTTCATTTAGCTTATTTGAAAAACTACCCAAAGAAGCTTATGAGATAAGTTCGAACTTTTTTAAAAAATTCGTCCTGCCAAACGAAGTTTATTTAAATACATGCAACTTATAAGCTAACCAAATAAAGTTTAATTTATTTATCTACCAAACATAATAAACTAAATTATCACTCATCAGCTAGTTTTACTAACATAACAATATTGTAGATTGAAAAGAACCAATCAAGTTCACTAATTATGAAGTAGCTGAAAATTAGTTGGAAAACTATTGTACAAATTAAAAATTAAAATTTTTTTTAACAAAATTTAAAAATAAATTAAAGATTATTCCATCTAATTAAAATAGAAAAAAATATCAAACAAGATAACACATATACAACAACAACAACAAAGCCTTTTAGTCCCAAACAAGTTGGAGTATGCTAGAGATAAAACCCAAGAGAAACAATAGTAAGAGAAACACAAAAAATGACTCAAAACAAAACAAAACTCTAAACAAAAACAAAACAAAAGGAATAGATTGGAGCAACAGAGAAAGAAGCAAAAGTCACAATTCCGACACGTTGATCACTAGCCTCCAAACGCTCATATCCACCACTAAATTCTTGAAAATATTCTAATTTTTAAGGTCTCTCTGAACAGACTCTTCCCAACTGAGTTTAAAGATTATTCCATCAACTATCTAAAAGTTATTAAATCAAATTAAAACACCACAAAATAACTACACAAAAATGACAAAATTTATAGGATTTCCCCAAAAAAAAAAAAAAAAAAAAAATTATGCAAAACTTTGGAATCATAATTGGAGTATCACATCAATCAATCTCTCTAACTTTTTCAATTTTTCTTTTTGTTTAAAATATACATTTTTTACTCTTCTTTTTTTCCCGGGTACTCCATAAATGCTCGTGGATATCAAATCATGATTTAAATACAGTTTATTATCGAAATTTTGAAATTAAATAAACAAATAATAATAATAAAAAAAAAATAAATAAATAAAAGAACACCGCCCCCACACCAAACCACACTTTTTCAATTTAACTTCTCCCCATTTTCTTCCCCGTCCGCCTTTCAAATTATTCTCTGTGCTTGTTTTGCTTCTTTATGGCACAGCCCTCTTTGAATCCCAACTCACTCATTCAATGCGTATTTATTGCCGTGCTGTGTGCGTATCTGTAAGCAGGGAATAAGCCGAGTTTTAAAAGGGGGAAGAGCACAAAGAAGAAGAAAAAAAAAGACCCAGAGTTCGTTGTGTTCACGTCTCTGTATCAGTGCTTGTGGGTTTCTTGAATCACTCGGTGGTTTTGGGCTTTCCATTAGAGGGTTCGTTGCTGAGGTAGTTTTCATGTTTCTGGTTTGATTTCTTGATTTTATGTTGTCTCTGTATGAATTTTTGGGTGGTTTTCTCGAAGCTGTTATGTTGTTTTTTTCAAGAAAGACTGCAGCTTTTTGTGTCTTTAGCTATCCTGTTTCTGTTTTTTTTTGTTATCTTATCTCAATCTGTTGCTTGCTTGAGTTGGTCTGTATGGCAAGTTTAAGCCTCTCCCTCTCTTTTAAATTGTGAAGTCAGATAATCAATGGATGATGGGTTGTTATAGTTATTTATTGGTTTGTGCTAAGTGTTAAGCTAACCCCCTGCTTGGATTTTTTTTTTGTGTGTTTAAATTGAAGTTTTGGGCTCTGGCTTGAATTTGGTTGGTTTGTTTAGCTCACATGGACAAGCACAATGATGTGCATGTGTTGTTGCAGAAGATTTTAGTACATTGCTGTGGTTGCTGTTGCCTATGGCTTTGTGTTTTGTAAGGTTTTTTAATATAGCTTCATGAGCAGTGACATATATCTATTCTGGTATATGTTGGTTCCGAGAAATAAGTATAGTGCTGTTTGGTTAACAAAACTATCAGGAAGAAGTTCTTGAATTGTTAATTAAGTGGAAGTGTTGCAAAGATGAACAAAAATCATTATAAGGGTCATGTTATTCCCTGCAAATTTAACTGTAGTTGATCGAAAACATATTTCTATAAACTTGATGTCGCTTTTATTATGCTTGATATTAATTATAGCTTTTCCTGGTTCGAGACTGTTGGATCGAGTTACCTACCCGACTATTATCAACTGTAATTTGGGGATATTTACTGTCTCACGTATGAAATTTCCCGTATTGTTGGCGTAGAATAAATCTCTGGATTAGCATTCAGTAGTTTCGTTAGTTTGAGATACGATGGGTTTTCTTTTCTTAGATCAGAGTCACATGCAATAACTTCTTTTGTTTGTATCGTTGATTAATTTGAGTCTTGAAAAAATGGTGTTTATGTTTTCACGACACGTGTTTGCAGCAGTACTAAATTTGGCACCAATTTGTTCTTTAATGAATTCTGAAGAGTTTGAGCTCCGTATTTAGTAAAAACGCCGTACCTGTTTTCCGTTCTTGGATTTCAAATCCCCCGAAGAATACTGGTTTCGAAATGGGGTTTAGCCACGTGGATTTTAACCATGTTCTGCATTAACTCTTTAGTAATGTTCTCATGCACGTTTCATTTTTGCCATGTTACCAATTATAATGTCTTACACGGCCTAGTCCTACGTGGGGTCTACCCTCAAACTGTTTGCTCGTTAAATGCTCTAAGAATGTTTCTTATGCATTTTTTTTTTTTTTTTTTGCTTTTTATTTACGACTATGTGTCTGTGTGTCAGTGTGTATTGACTGGCATCTGTTGAGCATTTCATTGCTCGTGATATTTGGAAAAAAATATGTTTGATTCTCTGATCGAACAAACTAAACCTGCGTTAGGTGTTCACACTTCTTTTCAGCAGATTTATCCCAGAAAATGGGAAACAGCACGTGGGAGCTTTTTTCTCAAGCTAACTCTTATCACGCCTCAAGTGATGCCTCACTTTTCTTGGCTTCATTGCCTGTTCTTGCCAATGAGAAGCGTAAGCCAGCAACAAGCATATACTTCAACTTGAAGTACTTTCATAGTTAACTCTGTATCACGATTATTTATTTAATATTCTACTTTTTGCCTGTTCGCAGCGAACATCAATGAACTAAACCGAGGAGTTCATCTGGATGGAAAGAAATCTCTTGTTCATGGCGAGAAGAATCATGCAGTTGATAGCTTACTACCTGACGAAAACGAACTATTTGCTGGGATGGTGAATGAGCTTGTAGATGACTCGGAAGATTTTGATCTTTTTCGAAGTGGAGGAGGCTTGGAACTCGAAACTGATCTGCAAGAAAATTTAGTAAGATTCGGTTTTTCCAGTCTAAATTTATCTGATGGTGGTGGTGTTGGCAATGTGGGGCCCCGCTTGAATTTCCCTAGTGGTGGGGGGACAATTGCTGGAGAACACCCTCTCGGAGAGCATCCTTCGAGAACTCTATTCGTCCGTAATATTAATAGTAACGTTGAGGATGCGGAGATTAGAGCTCTATTTGAGGTACTTTCATATGATCAATGGGGATTGGGTATAATAACAAAAATTGGATTCTCCTTGAAATTTTGGTTTATAAAAAACACAGACAAAAAAAAAGTAAAGAAATAAAATAATATTTTTGACGAAATTCATAAAATTTGTTAAATGTTGAAATTGGCATTCTGGGCTGATTAATATTTCCGTTAAATTTTTAATGGAGGTTCGTTTTGCTTTGTTATCTCCAGCAATATGGCGATATCCGAACATTGTACACTTCGTGTAAGCATAGGGGCTTTGTAATGATCTCTTACTATGATATCCGCGCTGCCCGTACAGCAATGCGTGCCTTGCAAAATAAGCCACTTCGGAGGAGAAAGCTGGATATTCACTTCTCGATTCCTAAGGTTCGACGAACTTTAATTTTCTATTGATGATAATAGAAAAGTGCCTCTTGAGAGCTTAGTGCATTTAGTTTTAAAGAAATCAAGTTATCTTTAAATTAAATAAACAATGTTAGATTGAATTCATATTTTGCCTAAAAAGTAACCCCTAGAGGTTGCAATGTGTAGGAAAACAAAATGTCAAAGGGATTTTGGTGTAAATTTGTAAAGATGGCGGAGTTCTTTTGTGATTATGTAAATCTTAAGGTGTAAACTTTGTAATTAGTTCATCTCTCGGTTTTTCATCTGGTTATATAGGAAAACCCATCTGATAAGGACATGAATCAAGGCACCTTGGTAGTATTTAATTTGGACCCCTCAGTTTCTAGCGACGATCTTCTACAAATTTTCGGTCCTTATGGCGAGGTCAAAGAGGTACCGAGTTTTTCCATCTTTTTTCCTCTCTTTAGTTTTCAAAGAAACATTGTAAGCTTAACATCTGACCATGTCTTGTTTGTATTTCTTATTAACTCAGATAAGGGAGACGCCCAACAAGAGAAATCACAAATTTGTTGAGTTTTATGATGTTAGGGCTGCCGAAGCTGCACTAAAGTCCTTGAACAGGATTGATATAGCTGGAAAACGTATTAAGCTGGAACCTAGCCGTCCTGGTGGAGCTCGTAGAAGGTTTGTTTATTAATGTTCAGCTTTTATTTATTTATTATTATTATTATTATTATTATTGTTATAATTATTATTATTATTTTTGTTGTAACCATTGGTGATTAACTTGTTCTTTTGGAAATCTTTTATAGTAGTCTAGTCTGAGATAAATTAGCTCATGGATGTTATGTTGGCGACTCTTACTTTCTAATAGCGTGTTGTGAAGTAATTTTTTCTTTCCTTTGTTTTTTTTTTTTGGGTGTTTTTTTTTACAGTTCACTGCTGCAAGCAAGTAATGACCTTGAGCAAGATGAAAGAAATTTGTATCACGTGGGTTCGCCGCTTGGGAATTCTCCCTCTGGTATTTTACTTGTATTAGTTCATTCCTTGTTAGCAATATCCGTTAATATGAGTGTTGGCATAAATTTAGCGTGTGAGGGCTAATTAGAAAAAGATACCCCTAAGGTTCACCTTAAGTAAGAAAGCCCGACTGTCGTTTAATTTACATTACGCCCTTAAATCCATTTGACGAGAGGTGTAATTGTAAAAATGAAATGTATGTCAATGGAGTATTTGTAATTTTGGAAGATGAACCCTTTTCTTTTACATGGAGGATATTATATTATTATATGTATCCCGAATGTTTTTGTTACTTCATCTTGTAAATTTTGGCAAGCTCTCATTTTTGCATTCTTGCAGGTAATTGGCCACAGCTTGGTAGTCCTATGGATCGAAACCCCTTGAAGAACTACAGCAAATCACCCGGTTTTGGATCTATTAGTCCTCCAGTTGTGCAGGATAGCTCGAACGGCCATTATTTGGATCATATTTATCCTAATGGAAATTTGAACTCCCGGGGCATCTCGGATAAATCCCGTTCATTTCCGGAACATATTCTAAGCAGTCAGTTTCATGGGCCTGGGCCCGGGCCCTTTTCTTCATTTGGGAACACCAGCTTCAGTGGGCCCACTTCCAAACCATTATTTGCTGGCCCACAGAATATCTGGGGAAATACTAATAGTAACGGTTTTAATTTCCTAAACCACCATTACCAGGTGAGGTCTGCTCCGCCAGAGCGGCAGTTCGGTTATATTCAGGAGTCTCTCAAAGGGTCATTTATGGGGCCTGGTTATGGAAGTGTGGGCTCAAGTTATGGACTGAAGTGTGGGCCCGGTATGCCTTCTGGTGGGAGACTTAGTTCTCCATTTTTGGGTAATGGCTATTTTCCTAGCATGGAGGGTTTTGGTGAACGAAAGTCGAGGCATTTTGGAGTAAAGGGAATCCAACTGGATAACATGACACAATTTCAGCTTGATCTTGATAAGATTAAGAGCGGTGAAGATGCTCGGACAACTCTTATGATAAAAAATATTCCCAACAAGTAAAAAAGTTTTCTGAAATAATTGAATTGTTTTAATTTTAGTATCAATTTTTAACCCTTTATATCTATTGTTACTTATTTAGGTACTCGTCAGAGATGTTGCTGGCTGCTATTGATGAGAATCATAGAGGGACTTATGACTTTCTATATTTGCCCATTGACTTCAAGGTCATCTTTTACTCGTCACTATACTTTTTTCATGGATTTTTTTATTTTTATTTTTTTATTTTTTTATTAGAAGAAAGTGTGAACTAAACGATACTTCGCTTTGTTTGCAGAATAGATGCAACGTGGGTTACGCGTTTATCAACATGTTGTCTCCACTGAATATTGTTCCTTTTCATGCGGTTTGATTCTTTAATCTCTGAGTATCTCGATTTTATCTTCACTCTGGGACTAAGTTTCTACTTTAAAACCAGGAATTCGAAGGCAAGCGATGGGAGAAATTCAATAGCGAAAAAGTAGCATCTTTGGCTTTTGCTCGTATTCAGGGGAAAGCTGCCCTCGTTGCCCATTTTCAGAATTCGAGCTTGATGAATGAAGATAAGCGTTGCAGGCCAATTCTCTTTGATTTGGAACACACGGGATTTAGTGATGAGGTAAATATTATCATTATTATTATGAAATTGAAGAGGAATAACGAATTAAGCATTTTATTTTACATATATCAACTTTTGGCTTCCATTTTAAAAATACTTGGAACTTCTGATTCATTGCTCTTTGTGTTTGTTGAGTTGAATTTCCTTTAAAATCCCATCTTTTAAATTTTTTGCAAGTATTTTGTAGCACCTTTTGAAGTTATTGTGTTCAAATGTGTGGCTATTTCAGAACATGCTAGAAATTCTTTGTGCCTACGGTTCGAGCAGCCAGCCTTGTCGAACAAATGGGCCGAACGAGAAGTAGTGTTTTGGGTTGTAATTGTAACTAAACGTACAAAAAGTAGGACAGGAGGCCCGAAAAGGAGTAAAGTTTCTGATCCGAAATTAGAAATTGAATGATTAAATTAAGGGAGGGAGGAACAAAGGGGAAAGCGTTCGGGCGAGAAGATCTATGGCTCTGTAGTTTTGTTCTTAGTTTTTGTTGGTGAGAAGACTGATGGCACTGTAGATTTGCTCTTAGTTTTTGTTTGAAGTAAGTTTGTGTGAAAATCAACCTGGAATTTTTGTCCCAGGTTTTTGAGTAACTTTTGAAGGTTTTATTAATGTTGTGGTTGCTTTTAGGTGAACTTTATGGACAAGCTTTTGCTCTAATTGGATCCCTTCTTTATTATTATTATTATTATTATTATTATTATTATTATTATTATTATTATTATTATTATTATTATTATTATTATTATTATTATTATTATTAGTTTGGATATTTGGGCATTGCCAATTTTGTTTAGTACGTAAGTGTTGATTGGAAATGGGAATTCAATTTTCGTCAATTGAATAAAAATCACATCAAATGAATGGTGTTGAGGAAGTCATTTTCTTATTGATAAGCAAATGCAAACGTTCTCATTAACATTTTATAAGTTGAGTTCAAACGTTTTCATAACATTTTATAAATTGAGTTCCAACGGGTAACGTGTGGTTGGAATTTTGTAGGTGCTATACCTTTTTTTTTTCTTTTCATAAACTTGTCCCTATTTTTTCATTTCTTGCGGGCGACGATATAAATAAATAACGACATTTTTAATAAAGTGACGGGCTCATCAAAACATGATAACTTATTTGAACACAAAAGGGTGTTAGGTGGTTATATTTTAACTTTACGCATATAACGTCTTGCTATACATCTTTATTGTATTTACGAGCGAGATCTGACTTGAACATCAGATGTTTTCGTCGGGATCTCTTCCCAGCATGTTTTGTAGGTCACCGGAACTCATGACGAGAAGTGGTTCATTGTTATGTTAGTTTAAATCCGGTTCGTAGGAAAATTGCTTCTCACAAATTTATGCCAAACACATTTGTACAAAAATTGAGACATGAGTGTTGGAATTTAACCTTATGCGAAAAGCGCTTTATCCTAGGAGCATTCATACTGAATAATTAAGAATCAAATTGAATAAAAATAGAAGCGTACCGAACTACATGAATTTGGAATCTCACGTTCTTCAGTTTTCTGGACCGATGATGACTTCGAAACGATCTTGTTGGACTGGTATGGTCTTCCAAACGAACGAACCTTATTGTATATTTTGATCTGTAGTGTTTGTATTGTGTATGTACGTCTGTGTGTATTCCATAGGTTTCTCGTATATTTTTCTGAAGTGAAGATGTGTGTTTTTAAAGGGAGAAAACACCTCTTCCAAAATCTGCTCGTACCTTTTCGTCGTTTGGGACCATAACCAAATAAATAAAATTTGTTTGATTTTCAGTTCGGTCCCTCAACAAACCGAAAATCCCACAATTGTATCTACACTTATAAATCCATAACAATTTGATACCTTCTTTATTCGAAATTACAAATTAGTAGATCGATTTAATTGAATAATATTATGACAACTACACATTTGACTTATATATGTTGTCCAATAAACTATTTTATAACAATAAGAAGTCAGACAATGAACAAAACTTTGTTTCAGTTTTGGTACAAAAATTGTACTTTTTGGGAACTTATTAACTTCGAGTTAGTAAGGTCTCATGCCATGTCATATTTTTTCCATAAATGCTGATGTTTATTTTCTTAAAAATTGAAAAGGATGCATTGTAATATTTTATTTTATTTTATTATTTTTAGGAAAAAAAGACGATATTGGACAATATCCACTCATGTCCAGGCAAGTGATTCGTGAAGTCGAGCGCGCGTGCCTTACACTCTCCACAGCGCAGTCATTATCTCACACACGGCTTCTCTCTTTCCGCGAAGCAGCACGTGTCCATCGCCATGTCGGCGGGCCCCCCTCATCCACGTGGCGGTTGGTGAGTGGTCTGTCCCTGACTTTCCCCAGCTCTGAATCTCAGCCGTTCGTTAGCAGCTGGCGAACTAAGTTAAGCACGGGTCCCGATCCCCTGCGGTCGGCTTCACTCACTCCCTCGCTTTTCAAGTTGTACATATATAATTACACTCTCACATAAATTGCGAAGGTACAAATCGTGCACGACGGTCGCACGGTAGAAAGAATAGACCGGCTGTAGGTGATCAAGAAAAGGCGCAGTCTTTACAGCTCGCACACACACCACTGCCTATAAATTTCACCAACAGGGGCACGGAAAAGTCTAGAAAGAGAAAGCGCGTCGTTTAGAGAGAGAGAGAGAGAGAGAGAGGGAGAGAGAGAGGGAGAGAGAGGGGAGAGAGAGAGAGAGAGAGAGAGAGAGTTGGACTTCTACAGGTATGTCACCACAAAAGAAATGATTTTTCTGTATATTCATAACTTGTAGAGTCATCTCTGTTGACTCGAAAAAGTTTCTGTTTTTTTCTGCAAGTTTTCGTGGCTAATTCAGCTGTATGTGTTAGTAATTTGGGCAAATTTTTTGTTTCTGCTTTAGGGTTTTTGGAATTCGAATGTTAATGGCGGTGTATGATGTTTGAAATTCTTGGTTGTTAGTGTTCATTTTGTTTCTTAATGTTGTGTTTTAGTAAATTTCGAACTTCATAGTAGGCGAAGCGGTTGCATTTAGTTGACTTCTGCTCTCTTGTGGGTTCTCTGTTGAAAAAGTTTGATTTTTGATGGTTATGGTTCAAGATTATTTAAAAAAAAAAAAAATGAGATTTGGGTTTTTTTTTGAGTATTAGGATTTACTGAGAGAATTCTTAGTTATCTTTTGTGATCTCCCATGTTCATGTTTTTGTTCAAGTTTATGATTCTCGTTTCATATGACTGCTTTTACTAAGTTGCTTTGTCACGAATGCGACTCGTCTGCTTAAAAAAGGGAATTGTGTGAGGAGATTTATCTTCCTTAGTAAGTGCTACAACTTTTTTTTGACTGTTATACTGTTTAGTTTTCTTGGATCTCAGTGATACAGTCATGTGATTTGTTCGAATTACAACTTCCCTTTTTACCTTTCTTGGTTTTTTTTACCAAGTATTCTTACTGAGAAGTGATTAATTGCAGTCTCCTGTGGCTGATCTGATATCCCAGAGGGGTTTTCTCTCCTCTCCCAACTGATTCTTCTGATGCAATATTGTTTCGATCATCAAAAGTACAGATCAAATGCCATCATTAAAAATGAAAACCAAACCAACCACATGTTGTTCCAAAGAAAAAGATGGTCTTCAAGTGTGCCGAAGATCGAGTATGATATCCAAGAATCCTCTCTCTCATGTCGTAGTATCTCAGAATGCAGAAGAAATCATTGTTCAGAGCAATCAGAATGGTAAGTGTAGATTTGTATGATTTACGTAGTTAAGACTTAAGCGTGGATTTGGATGATTTACATAGTTAAAAGTTGCGTTTACAAGATTTGAACTTTATTCCCATTTAGTGAAGATTACTGTCTCTTTATCAAACTAAAATCTTCTTCATTTCAATTCTATCCTCATGTTTGTGCCGTAATTCTCACTAATATGTAATTTATTGGTTTAGAACAAAATTTTAATGCTCCATTTTTTTTTCATTTACTCTGCAGCTCCAGTTTATGGTAGATTATACGCACAGGACCTTGAAGCGGTTGAGGCCAATTCAGATGAGGTATCGACTGAAGAACTTCTTCAGAAGCAGCCGTCGAGGGTAATTGATTCTGCTACCGATAGTATGGTGAGGATCATCATTTTTCTAATAACTCGTATTTCTTTTATCCTTTGCAGTGCAATTCATTGATGGCCTTTATGCATCACTCAGTTGACAGTATATGTATAGACAAAGATTATATTCAGTATGCTTAATGGCTTTGTTTCAAATAATTTTCAGGAACTTACCTTACCCACTTGTACTTCAAACATTGAGTCAATTTTTTCTCCCATTCTCGAGTCAATCTGCAACAATGAAGGTATTTTCTATAACCCTTTATTGGTTTTTCAAGCCGACACAATTTTCATATCGAGTATAATCACTTTTAGCCCATGAAGCTTAATAAGTATCAGCTCATGTTTCTGTATTGTAGGAAGTGACAATCTCTATGTACCACAGCTAGATAGCGAAGACAGTGATGACAGCAGCAAAAATTCTTGTAAATATAATCAAGCATGCAATGTAACAGACTTTTACATATCTGACATGATTTTTTCTGCATCGCCAATCGGAAGCAATTCCGATTGCAGCAGTGGAACAAAATCATTTTTTCTATCCGATTATCAACTTGATGACGAGTCTAGTTTACTCTGTTATGATTTGACTGAGGAGCATATGGTATTGCCCTTTTTGGAGGCTACTTTCGATCCTCGACTTGAAAATGGTGAAACACCTGCAAAAGATTGCGAGTCCTTTGATCCACAAATGTATATCAAAAGTCCTCCATACCAGGCTGACATGGCATTTCCGGTTCGAGTCTTGGCTAATAAGCAAAGTAACAAGAAGATCACTTTAGTACTCGACTTAGATGGTTAAGTATTTATTCCCTTTTACGAATAGTTTTTGCATTCTCAATTTTTGAGGAGTACCAAACAAAAAAATTCAGTTTGTAAAAATAGGGCCTTTTTTTTGTTCCTTTTGTGCAGAAACGCTCGTTCATTCGACATTGGGGCACTGTGATAATGCGGACTTCACGTTTACTGTTACCCTCAACACAAAAGAATGTGTGGTGTATGTTAAACAGAGGCCTCACCTCATGACTTTTCTGCAAAGAGTGGCCGAATTGTTTGAAATTGTGGTGTTCACTGCTAGCCAGAGCATTTACGCGAAGCAGCTTCTCGATATTTTAGACCCACATGGAAAAGTTATATCAAGGCGGGCTTATCGTGAATCGTGCACCGTCTTGGGAGGAACTTACATAAAAGACTTAACTATATTGGGTGTTGATCTTGCGAAAGTTGCCATAATCGATAATACCCCTCAGGTGAAAAAACGCATTTTTATAAGATTCTTCTCACTTTTTTTTGGTGTACTTTCTCACCCGATTGCAGAAAAGAGTAACCTTTATGTTCAATTATGCGATTTCAGGTTTTCAGGTTGCAAGTGAATAATGGAATCCCGATCAAGAGCTGGTTTGATGATCCATCAGACGATGCACTTATTTCACTACTGCCGTTTTTGGAGACTTTGGTTGATACTGATGATGTTCGGCCAGTAATTGCTAGGAAATTCGGTAACAAGGAATAAGAGCATCCTTAATTCGGGAAAAGCTACGGTCCCGGAACCATTCCGTCGGGTTTGTAACTGTTAGATCATCATGTAACCGCCGGTGATAGTTGATCTAACGGTTATAAATTCCGATGGAATAGTTCCGTAACATGACCGTAGCATCTCCCCTCTTGGTTACCTTAATTAAGTCAATTTACTTTAATTACTGTCATCATCCCCCCACCCTTTTTGAGGATCTTGTTATTTTGCTTAGACTAACTTGTGACAGACAATTGATCTCTGGGAGGTTCTTTTTGTTTGCTCGCTCTGTACAGCTTCTTCACAAATGTGTATACGAATTGATTTGTGATATTAGTTGTAATTTTTAATATTGAATGAATGAACTTATCGGAAATGCTATGGTCCCGTTACAGAACCATCTCGTTGGGCGTTTTAACCGTTACGTTATCTATTTTATACTAACTACATGTGTATCTAATGTCATAACTCCCGACGAGATGGTTCCTTAACGCGACGGTATCATTTCCTTGAACTTTAAATCCACATTAAGTTTTTTTATTTGAAAAAATATAATCAGCATTCAACAGGCAAATTATAGTGGCAGATCAATTGATTGGACAAATTAGTTTGGTGCCATATTAATTTGGAATAGACAAACAATTTAAATTATGGGTAAAACCAAGATAAAGCCACAGGTGGAAGACCAAATCTCAGCCCGTTATAACTATTCTGTCGGAATTTGTAATTATTAGATCATCATGTAACTGTCGTGGATAGTTGATCTAACAGTTATAAACCATGACGGAATGGTTTCGTAATGGGACTCCTTTAAATTAGTTGTAATTTATACAGACTATGAACTACTTTGAGATTTTATTTTTTAAAAATTGCAATTTGGGATGTCTTTAAACTGTGGAATGTATAATTTACGTACGAATAACTCTGGGAACTATGATGTAAGAATTACGAATGCGAGTGTCAATATTTTAGGATGAGGAAGTTAGGAAAAAATTGCAATTTGGTACATTATTTTTTGATTAGTTGCAATATCACCCGAAAATCAATTTTATGAACAACAAAAATTAAAATTGGACGGAAATTACAAAAAATCAAAAGATAGTGTATCAAATCAAAATTTACTTTCTAATAAAAAAACATAAAAAAGGATGAATATTAAAAAAAAAAAAGAAAAAAAAATCTAACGACAGATAGTGTATCAAATCAAATTTCAAAATATTAAAGGACGAAAAAATGCAACTGGCTAAAATTTTAATGGAATTAAAGAAAATGCTACAATCCCGTTACGGAAGTACGGAACTATTCCGTCTAAATTTATAACCGTTAGATTCGTATATCCGTCAAATATAATTGATCTAACGGTTCCAAAGCGACAGATAATTTGTCATCTGGCCTTCTTCAATTAGCTGACCAAAAAGCAAAACCAACACGAAGATCATCATCATCTCTGCACAAAAAATGCAGTCCCTTTCAGTTTCTCGCTCCTCTCTCTACCACACCAGTCAAGTTCTCTCCACCAAAACTCCCACCTCCCATCAAAGCAGACTCTTTTGCCGATTTTCTCCTCATCACCTTCAACAATTACAGAGGCATCAGCAGTTTGCCTCTCTCAGCTACAACCCACTAAGGTGGGTCCCTAAGTTCGGTCATTAATGGCGAAGTAGTTAGAAAAATCGAGTCTTTCTCATGGTGGATATGTTGATTTTTGATCTCATTTTGTTGGGACTTTGACCGATTTCGATTTGGTTGTCTGTTTATTTATTGATTTATTTGTGTATGAAGTGCAGAGTGTTGAGAATGGCCAAGAAAGGGCGTGGGGCTGGTGCTGTTTGCTATGCTGCGCCGCTCACACCTGGGAATCTTCAATGGGTCTCCGCTGTTTCGACTGCGTACGTTGTCGTTTTCATGTTTTGATATTTATCCTCGTTTTGATGTCACTATGATGTTCGATTATTTGTTTGTTTTACTATTTTTTGTCTAACTTATGAAGCTCGAAAAGCCTTGCCCCCAATTCATGAGGTTGCAAGTGAAGCAGTAATGAGCTTGATTAGAATGATTGTTTTTACTAAAGCTTTTTGTTTTTTTATCTCATTTTCGTTTCATTGTCTAACTATAAAAAAAAAAAAAAAAATCAGTGTAAGTTCTTGGTGTTGTACTTATGTTCCTGAACTGGCTAAGCTTGACTGTTAATCTCTACAAAATTAGGCACAATCAGCCAATTTGGGCACGATTTTAAGTTCGACCCGTTTGTTTGTCTCGATAATTTGTAACATATGCCCTGATAAGTTAGTCATATTCTTTTTTTTTTTTTTTTTCAGAGTCCTGATGCTAGCAAGGGGAACAGCTATTCACAAATCATTTCTTGTTCCTTTGTTTGCACTACAAGCACCTGCAAGCATTCTCTCATGGATGAAGTATGTCGGACTTTAATTGTCGTCTCTATTTTTCTTATTACTCTGTATATTTTGCATATATGCTGCTTGATGTTTTGCTATTTTGCTATTATGGTCTGAACGCGAATTAGTTTTTCAGGGGTGAGTATGGCATGTGGACTGCTTTCTTGGCCCTTCTCGTACGTCTCTTCTTCTTTATTCCGGGTGAGTTATCTTTTTCATGAACGTAATCAAGTGAATATTTGTTATCTCGTGAACTTTTTTATGTCGTGAGGATTACTAGAGAGAATTTGGTAGTACTTCATATTTATACTTTAGAGTCCGTGAGCTGAGTAAGAATATTTTTTTAGTTTTCTTCTACCTTCTGATTGTTAGGTGCATTTATGTTTTTTTTTTTGTTCATATTTTGCCACTACTCGGACTAGGTTAACTTAATTCGAGTTATATCTGATCTTTCAGGGGAATTGGAATTGCCGTTTATAACATTGATGTTGGTGATTGTGTCTCCATATCAAATTATGAGGCTGAGGTTAGTAAATTCTTTGCAGATAGTTTATCGTGTTCTTTATTTACAAAAAAACTATTCTTATATTCTCGCCTTAATTTTTTATGGCAGAGGAACAAAGGAAGGTGTGATTTTTTCATTGGTAATAGCAGCTTATTTGGCTTTCCAGCATTTTACGAGAGCCGGCAGCTTGGGAAAAGCTTTCGACCAAGGTTCAATCATTGCTACCTTAGCCACCATCTGTATTGTTGCTGTACCGTGCTTGCTTTTGATCTAATCTAATCATTTTCTGTACACTATAGACTATCTGTAATTAATGACAATAAATTCTCTCTCTCTCGCTCTCTCATACTCTTATTGTGATAGAGATTACTTATCTCTCTGTCAGAATTATATTAGACGTTGTACTCAACAAAGTGGAGGAAATTTATGCTAATTATCTCGTTTGTTATGGTGTTACTGTGTTAGCCCATCAGTGACAACTATGAACTATTTATGTATCCATCATTTTATCTTTACTAGAAACCGTCTTTCATTTTTTCGTGCTCTCTCTCTCTCTCAAACACACACACACACCCACAAACACATAATATCTTATATCCCTCTTCTTGACTCATTGGAGATTATATAAAAGGGGAGAGAGAGAGAGAGAGAGAGTTTGTGAAAAAGTACTTTTTAATGAAGCCAAAATACATCTACCGGAACAAGAATCAAAATTTATCCGTGCATTGCTCTCGTTTATGGGGCAGTTGAACTGCAATTTATTTCAGGTGATCGAGTAAATCTGATGATGAATGTTATCTTTTAATCTTCTGATAATTGATAAATCCTGAATATATTACACATCCTTTTCACTAATGTTTTTTTCCCCTAAACCAGGTATTCTTGTATGAAATCGCTTATTAACTTTAGAAAATACATCTATAATTCATAAAATGATCTTATACATGTCTGTTTGTGCCACTTTGTTTCCTATTCTTTCTGAAGACTGAACGCATAGAATCAATAATCACTGCCCCCAAAATTTTCCATTGCCTTGAAGTTGCCGAACAAATTGCTATCTCATTATGGGAGACAGCAAACCAAATCTAATCCTTTTGCATGTTTAGAAGTGGTTAGCCATAGAAACTGACATTAGGAGGAGGCAGTTCAAGATGACGAGTTTGAATATGTCGAGAGAGATAATTCCGGCTGAATTAGGAGTGCCTGTTGGTTCAGACCCGTAATCGTAGCCCGGTTCTGAACCGTAACCATTGCCTACTGGCGGATAAGGATTTACCGGCGTAGTTATGCTGTTATGAAATGAAAAGGTATTCATTAATATTGAGATAATTACAAAAGGTGCCCTTTGAAGTTTAATCTAACTGTACAAATGTATCCACATGATTTTTGCATTTTCTTGAATAAGGTGCACTCACTTAGTAAAGAACTCGATATCAGGGTAGTATTTGCTATTCTGAGATTCTTTTTTTTTTTGCTAGAGTTGCTTAAGGCTGTGTTTGGTAAACATATAAGATAGTTTATAGTTTATTTGATTAGCTTATAAGCTTCTTGTATTCAAACAAGCCTGTTTGGTAGGACGAGCTTTTTTAAAAAGCTTGAGTTTATCACATAAGCTTCTTTAGATAGTTTTTCAAATAAGCTAATTGAATTTTTTATTTCAGCTCGCTTATCAGCTAATTTATATAACACTTGTATTATATAAGCTTGTTTTTCAGCTATTAGTCATAAGCTATAAGCTCTAAATTCACTTAAAAGCTATAAGCTAGCTTATCACCTAGGTTTACCAAATAAACATAGCCTACGCCTAAATGGTGTGTTACCTGGGAGGAGTCATTGGAATTGCTGGTGGTGGCATCGATCTAGGTGGAGACATTTGGGTCCCACTTGATGATGATGCATATCGACAGTTCCCATGGCCTGATATATCAGTAAATAGTGAGTTAGTAACTTTACTTCACGATGGTGATTGAGATCTTCATTGACATACCATAAAGGAATATAAGGCAACTCTTCGGACAAGACCAATCAGCCGGTTGGTGAAACAAAAACATTTTGTTTCATCGAATATTTTTATTTTTTTTTCAAAGTGGTTAGTTAATTCGTTGGCTTAATTCCCCCCGAATAAAAAACTGCCCTTGAGTTTAAGTCAATTACAAAAGGTACCATATATTTCTCAAGAATTACCAATTCCTGATATTTGTTTGTATTCTTTTCCAGATGCCTGTAAACTTTTGTTATCTTAGTTTACTTTAGTTTCTCATATTTATTGTATTTTCGTATTTATTACTGGTAATGTTTCATATTATTGTTCAACTAAAAATTTTAACTTATAGAAATACGATTACAACCAACTCTTAAAATATTGTCTGGGGCCTCTGAATTTCTGGAGACGGCCCTGCCTGTCATAGTGTGCCATGCCTCATCTTAAGTAGGTTTATATACTTAGAAAGTTCTATTTCTAACACCATATTTCAAATATGAGGAAAAATAAAAAAACAAAACAAAAATTGAGATTTAGTATCTTACTTGGGTCGGTATTTGTTAGTTGAGCTGCTCCCCCGAAAACACAGCTAGTCGGGGCAGGATTCTTTTGATAGTAATCATTGAATGCGTACGATGCATGGTCTCGAACTGTGTTGGGCTCATAACAAGGCCCGTTGGGCTGAAGGGGCGAACAGTCTGCTCCCCCATATCCGCACGCATAGTCCAGAGCCACTTGCAGGGCTGTCTCAGAGACACCGGAGCTGGCCACGCACCATGACCCACCACCACCACCACCACCGCCGCCGCCGCTGCCGGTGGCTGGCGGCGGTCCGGTGGTGGCTGGCGGGCCGGTGGTGAAAGGTGGGTTCGGGCTCGTCGGGTTCACGATCGGGATCGTGCCACCTGGCGTGGTGGGATTCACGATCGGGATTGTGCCACCTGGAGGGGTTTCTCTCTGGGAGTTTACGGCGAAAGGCGAAAGGAAAATGCAGATGATAGAGAAGATGGCATTATTAAGGAGAATTTGGGCTTCCATTGGTATGTAAGCTGCTCAAGTTCTTCGTTTTTCGAGACCGAATAGTGTTTTTATTTATTGATATATCAAGAAAACCAGGAATGTTTGTCTGAAAGAAGAAGAAAAGTACATGTATAGCATCTGGTCTTGATTTTATATATAAATTGTGGAGAAAGAATCATAGGTTTCTTGCATTGAGGAGAGGGAATAGGATGAAAGATGTTTTCTGTGTTTTTTTTGAAGGAATATGAGATGACTTGAGAAAGAGGGTTTGTTTTTTTTCATTTTTATTATTATTATTATTATTATTATTATTATTATTATTATTATTATTATTATTATTTTATTTTTTTTTTTATTT